AGGTGGGAGGTACAAGGTCATATTCTCACAATGTCTAGGTCTGGGCTAGTACTGGTCATTCTCAAAGGCCTGGTAAAACCACCAGGTCTTTAAGCTCTTATATTAAAGATCCCTGACCCCATTGGATGGGAGAAAAAAGTATAAATAACTAGGTAACAGCACCCCCTCTTCTCTTTCATTCTCCCATAAACAACAATCGTGCATCCAAACTCAGACACCGTATTCCAGCTGCTGCTACTTTTTACTTACTGCTTCATGTGTCTTCCTTGCAAACCACAACTGGTCCCTCCGAGATCCAAGATTCAGCTCACTACTTTCAGTACAGAGAAAACCACTCTCTGGCCAACTCAAATGGCTAGGACATCCTGGACTGTTATTTGAGGCTTTTAACTATGTAATGAGCACTATACATATTCCTGTCCATAGTATGAAGTGCTCATGACACTGACACGTTATATCGAGGGACACTGTGCTTCCTCCCCTCCTGCCTAATGAACCACTGAGTGTTGCTCAAGTGACTGGCCAGCAGCTCCCCATTTCTGTTTACTCAAACCTGGGATCTGATCCTGGGATATAGGGCCTGTCTGGGAGGGCTCTACATTTATAGGGAGATATGAAAACCTATATTTTTAGATTTTTTTCAGAGACAATAGTTTAAATACATTTATGACTATGAAGAACTGAGAGAGATATTCTTCCAAGTCTATGTAATCCCTCGTAAGGCTCTGAGTTAATCGCAATCACTATATTTCATAGCAATGAATTCCACAAAGTTGTCTTTCTAAGCTATGCTTAGGGGTTCCTCTTTAAGTCTCATGTATTATAGCTTCTCCAGAAAAGGAACCTATTCTCACTATTTTCTGTGTTAAAATTTGCTCTTTGAACTCAAAGCATGGCAGGGCAAAGTACAGCCTGCATGTAGTCCTTTTTCTCCATCCTCTTCATATATCCCAAAATTTTAATTAAAACAAAAAAGAACTGTGGTATTTTGCCATTGACATTAATTGGTGATGACACAGTCAAATGTAAGCCACTAAATATTCTACATCCAATGAGGAAAAGAAAAAAATCACTGTACAGTAGTCAAGGTGATTTCATAGTTCACTTAGTTTCTGTCAGTTTAATAATCAATATGATATTAAAGTCAACTCAAGTACCTTTAAGGTTCGTTTAATCAAATATACAATTAATAGTAATTAATCAAGTTGGAAAAATGGTAATTAACTGAATGTTTAATGAAGAATATTTAATTCATCTCAGCTATTTTAAATTTTATTTTAAATATATGTAGCTAACTTTTTTGTATTTAAAACTTTGTAAACCCTACACCTGCAAGAGCCGAAATGAAATATATCCTCAGGCACATGGCCAAATAAAAAGTAGCCCCAGGTCCACTTAACTGTCCCTGATATAAAGCAAGGCGTTCAAAGATAATGAGATGTCTAATCATATAAAGTTAAATGCATACCAGAATATTCCTGTTGTGGACTGAGGTGAAATGAGGTTTTTAGAACATCCTACTAGATGCAGCAAAAACTCACTTAACTCAATGCAGTAACTTGTGCAAGTCTGCACTTGATAGCTTTGAAAACATTTTTGATCAGCACAGGTACCGATTAAATAACTCAGATACAAACTGAATAACTGCAGGTGTTGGAAGGTGTTGGTGTTTCAACCTCAGTTTCTGTTGTGCCTAAAATATTACAATTTCCAAGCAGATTGCACATACCACTGCAAAGTCCTACATCTGCATCAGTTTCGTGTCATATGCACATAGCTTGCTTAAATTCACTGATTTCACTATGTTGAGTAACAACAGATTCTTTCCAGAGGACATGTTGGTGAGACCATCAAACAATGCCAAACTGTATCAAGGAACTAGGACATAGTGAACACATGATCTTATAGTAGCATAATAGCCCTAACTTTCTGCCATATTTGCAAAGCATGACCACAGAAGAAAGTGACTGCAGTGAAATGAGAAGTAATCATTAACACAAAGTGTGATTCAAACTCTAGGATATGCAAGCCATACTTACAAAAACTTTCCAAAAGCACAGAGGGATACCAAACTAAGTCTTGAACATACAATTTTAAACTCCCTGGTTGGTCTTGACCTTTGACTATAGCGTAAGGCAATTTATAATTATGTATGGAGCTCAAATGTGGAGTTTGTTTCCAAAATGTACCAAACCCATCTAAACAAATGTTACAGGAATAAAAATAACTGTGCTGAGGATCTGTATTTTTCTTTGTTGTTCATTGCAATTTTCCTCCTTTGATCTGTACATAATATTCTATTCCTAGCTAACAATGTGTTCCCACCTATAACTCATTTTTTTCATTTCATTTAATTTTATTTTAATTTTTTGGATTTGGTATTCTTTGGAAAGAAACCCCAGAAGTGAGCATAACACTTGGATCTCCCTTTAAGACTCAGCATGAGCCTCTCTTACTCAAAATGCTTTGGGTCAGAAGTGCTTTGGATTTTTTCATGTTTTGGAACGCCTGCATACACGCACATACTTCATATTCTTGGAGCTAGGGCCCAAATGTAAATATGAAATTTATTAGTGGTTGCAATACACCTAACCTGAAGGTAATGCTATACAATATTTTTAATGATGTTGTGTCAGAATACAATATTTTTAATGACGTTATGTCAGAAAGCAAAGTTGGCACTCTCTCAGCTCCAATGTGGAAAGAACAGAATACATTTATTGTCATTGTAAATGACAATATTTATGCTTTCTCCAATACACACCACAAAAACAACACACCCATCCCTCCACACTCCAACCACCACTGCACAGACCCCAATGTCAAATCAATGCAAAACCATGGAGTTCAACATAGTTACAATTCTAGGATAAAAGCTATCTTTCAGTGTGTTTGTCCTTGTCTTTGTCATCCTGTACCATCTGCAAGATGGTAATTATTAAAAAAAAAAAAAGAATATGCTGGGTGAGATGGGTCCTTCAGAATATTCTGAGCTTTCTTAATGGAGCTGGACTTACAAAGTTCTTCCAAAGAGAGGAGAGGGCAACCAATGATTCTCTGAGCAGTAGTGGTTACCCTTTGAAGTGCCTTCCTATCTGCTACTGTGCAGTTACCAAACCATGCAGTAGGTCAGGACACTCTCTATGGCACAGTGGTATTAAGTCACCAGCAGTTTTTCATTCAGTTGGTGGTTCCTTGGAAGTCTCAGGTGCAGTCTTTTCATCAATGATGCCGTTTTGGTGCCCCACAATTATTGTATTAATGGCATACAGAATGTAAAAGAAAACAGCAAAAGAGAATAAAATGCATATAATACAGGTATGCCATTCCCCCATAACCTCTGGTCCCACTCTGCAAAACAAATATCTAAAAAAAACAACCTCTATTCTTATCTTTGCATTCATAAATGTTCTGAGTTTTCTTGACGCTGCAGAACTTATGAAGTTCTTCCAAAGAGGGAAGAGGGCAACCAATTATTCTCTATGCAGTAGTGGTGACTCTTTGGCGCGCCTTCCTATCTGTCACTGTGCAGTTATCAAGTCATGCGCAGATATAGTAGGTTAGGGCAGTGGTAGAAAGTCACCCACAGTTTTTCATTCAGTTGTTGGTTCCTTAGACATCTCAGGTAGTACTGTCTCTCCTGGGCACTCTTAACCAGCGCTGCTGTATGGGTGTCCTAGCTCAGATCCTCCTTAACAGGGATACCCAGGAACTTAAAACTGGCCACCCATTCCATTTGGTCCCCATTTATGACGAAGGGCTAAATTGTCGGTTTTTTCGGGCTATATGGCCATGTTCTAGAGGCATTTTCTCCTGACGTTTCGCCTGCATCTATGGCAAGCATCCTCAGAGGTAGTGAGGTGAGACAAGAGGGATCCTCTCACCTCTGCAGGAGTCTACCGTATACCATGCAACTGTAGACAAGTCTACATAGGGACCACCAAACACAGCGCCCAAACACAAATCAAGGAACATGAAAGGCACTGCAGACTACTTTAGCCAGAGAAGTCAGCCATACCAGAGCACCTGAAAAACCAGCCTGGACACAGCATATTATTTGAGAACACAGAAATGCTGGACCACTCTCACAACCACCATGTCAGACTACACAGAGAAGCCATTGAAATCCACAAGCATGTGGACAATTTCAACAGAAAGGAGGAGACCATGAAAATGAACAAAATCTGGCTAACAATATTAAAAAAAACTCTAAAATTCCAACAGCAAAACAGCAGAGAGAAAACAACCAGGCACATCTTAACACCTCTCAACAAAAGATTCCCCAAGGCTCAGCCAGGCCTTCAAATGCTAATGAAGGCGGTCAGTTGAAACATTCACACCTAGCTCCAGCAGGGAAGAGCTCTTTGCCTCACCCAAGTCATTCCACAGATATATAAACCCATTTTCCTAACTCCAACAGACCTCACTACCTCTGAGGATGCTTGCCATAGATGCAGGCGAAACGTCAGGAGAAAATGCCTCTATAACATGGCCATATAGCCCGAAAAAACCCACAAGAACCTGAACATTACATTGTTACTTATATAGATATTTCTTTTACTATACTTGTATACCGCCTTTCTCAGCGACTCAAGGCAGTATTTAGAACACACATCCTCCCATTTTCTGGGCCTCCAACTCCCAGAATTCCTCGCTACTGATCAAGATGGCTAGGGCATCTGGGAATTGAGACTCAAACAGCGGGAAGGCCGTAGTCAGAAGATGCCTTCCCTAGGATGTGTTAGGAGTGTCAAGTGCGGGCTTTAAAGCGCTTGTCTCAAGTCAAGAACTGCAATACAAAGCCGCTGAGGAGCCGGGCCTTTCTCTCGGCGGCGTCCCCGAAGCCAGGAGCCCTTTCTCCCACCCGTTGGGGGCCTAAAAGCGGAGCCACACCGAAAATCCCGCCGCCCTGCTCTCCCTGAAGGCCATTACAGCTCCTCGGGACAGAAAACCAGGCAGAAAAGGCCTTCCTTGCCTTCTAAATCAAGTCCAACTCTTACCCCACTGCCGGACGCCATCTTGCCTGTGAAGCGTCCCGGAAGCCGGAAAACGTCGCGCAAACTGGGGCCTGCCGTAAAGCGTACTTCCGGTTGGTCCTTTCTAGCCAGAGAGTCCTCATCCGAGCTGCAGCTTTCTCTATGCTTCCTGGGAAGCTTTTTCGCTCAGGAGAGGTAAGGAAAGGACGTGTCTTAGAGCGTGTTTATGCCTCAGAAAGGAAGCTTATAGCTTTGCCTCGAGGGTGAGGCAGACAGAAACCCTTCAGGCTTTTAGCCTTCTCTTTCAAGTGAAAGCACAGCCTTGCTTCTGGCTCCAACTCCTAAATCTGTCTGTGCAGCCAAAGGCCCTGGAGGCCTAGTGGCAGGTGCCCTTCTACACAGCCCAGAATATCAAGGCAGAAAATCCCACAGTATTTGCTTTGAAGTGGGTTATCTGAGTCCACACTGCCATATTCCAGTTCAAAGCAGATATTATGGATTATCTTCTTGGAGAATGGGAAACGTTCCAGCACCAATGTGGTCCCAATCTTCAAGAAGGGAAAAAAGGATGACCCAAACAATTACCGTCCGGTCAGCCTCACGTCGATGCAAAAAGATTGTTAAGGAAGTGGTCTGCAAACACTTAGAAACAAATGCGGTCATTGCTAATAGTCAACATGGATTTATCAAAAACAAGTCATGCCAGACTAATCTGATCTCTTTTTTCGATAGAGTTACAAGCTGGGTAGATGCGGGGAATGCCGTGGATGTAGCGTACCTGGATTTCAGTAAGGCCTTCGACAAGGTCCCCCATGACCTTCTGGCAAGGAAACTAGTCCAATGTGGGCTAGGCAAAACTATGGTGAGGTGGATCAGTAATTGGTTAAATGGACGAACCCAGAGGGTGCTCACCAATGCTTCCTCTTCATCCTGGAAAGAAGTGACGAGTGGAGTGCCGCAGGGTTCCGTCCTGGGCCCGGTCCTGTTCAACATCTTTATTAATGACTTAGATGAAGGGTTAGAAGGCATGATCATCAAGTTTGCAGACGACACCAAATTGGGAGGGATAGCCAATACTCCAGAGGACAGGAGCAGAATTCAAAACGATCTTGACAGATTAGAGAGATGGGCCAAAACTAACAAAATGAAGTTCAACAGTGACAAATGCAAGATACTCCACTTTGGCAGGAAAAACGAAATGCAAAGATACAGAATGGGGGACAATTCCTCGCTCGAGAGCAGTATGTGTGAAAAAGAGCTTGGAGTTCTCATTGACAACAAGTTAAACATGAGCCAACAATGTGCTGTGACGACAAAAAAAGGGCCAATGGGATTTTGGCCTGCATCAATAGGAGCATAGTGTCTAGATCTAAGGAAGTAATGCTACCCCTCTATTCCGCCTTGGTTAGACCACACCTGGAATATTGTGTCCAATTCTGGGTACCACAATTCAAGAGAGATATTGACAAGCTGGAATGTGTCCAGAGGAGGGCGACTAAAATTATCAAGGGTCTGGAGAACAAGCCCTATGAGGAGCAGCTTAAGGAGCTGGGCATGTTTAGCCTGAAGAAGAGAAGGCTGAGGGGAGATATGATAGCCATGTACAAATATGTGAGAGGAAGTCACAGGGAGGAGGGAGCAAGCTTGTTTTCTGCTTCCCTGGAAACTAGGATGCGAAACAATGGCTTCAAACTACAAGAAAGGAGATTCCAGCTGAACATGAGGAAGAACTTCCTGACTCTGAGAGCTGTTCAGCAATGGAATTCTCTGCCCCGGAGTATGGTTGAGGCTCCTTCTTTGGAAGCCTTTAAACAGAGGCTGGATGGCTATTTGTCAGGGGTGCTTTGAATTCAATATTCCTGCTTCTTGGCAGGGGGTTGGACTGGATGGCCCATGAGGCCTCTTCCAACTCTATGATTCTATCTCCCCAAGGGGACTCAGAGCGGTTTCCAAGTAACATAATCAATCCATACAAATAAAACAGCATAAACATAACATTAACAAGACAATATAAGCATTAAAAACCACAATAGCACATATATTTAAAATAATCCTGCCTGTTCAAGGAAGTTTAAAAGGCCGGGCCAGTGCAATTTTAGAGGGCCCAGGAAATTAGGTAGAGTCTATGGCCATACATTTCCAGGGCCTAATAAAAGAAAGTGACCTGGGTAATTGGAAGAAAAAGATATGGCCAATTTCAACAGTATCTGGGGCATAGCTAGAACTAGTCGTTCTCAAAGGTTTGTTTAAACCACCAAGTCTTCAGGCTCTTACAAAAGGAGGGGAGGGATTGAGCCTGTCTTATTTCTCCAGGAAGGGCGTTCCACAGGTGGGGGCCACCACTGAGAAGGCCCTCTCTCTCGTCCCAACCAACCGTGCTTGGAGCGAAAGGAGGGCCTCCCCGGAAGATCTTAAAGTTTGTGCCGACTCATCATTAACGACTCATTGTTAAGAACGGGGAGGGGAGATAACAGGAAGTGAAAGAAATCTACCGCCAGGAAGGGAAATTCACTCCTAGAAGAGTTACCATGGAGAAAAGGTATCCAATGAAGCCTTCCAACCAATCCTTGTTTCCACAACAAGCCATTTTTTTCACACAGCCATATAACCCAAAATATCAAGGCAGATTATTTCACAATATCGTCTTTGAACTGGGTTATCTGAACCACATTGCCATGTATTCCAGTTCAAAGCAGAAAATGTGAGATTTTATTCAGCTGTATGGAAGGACCTCCGCCATTAGTCTGTGTGACTTTGCAAAATAGTCATTGTTGGATTTTATGTCTTGCTTTTTCTCTCTGTTCTTCATGCTGGATACATCACAGATGCATCTTTCACTGATCAGAATGCAAAGGCTTCCTCTCCTGTGCTGCTCTGAAGATTTGATATGTCCAGTATAGGAAACATTGCTGACAGATGCTGTTGAAACTCCTCGACATGTATTGGATAAGCTTTTTCACAAGGGCTCTGTACAGGAGGCAGCTTATGCCAACACAGTTTTGGGTTCAAAGGACACTTTCCAGCCATCTACCGAGCAAGGTGCATCTCGTTTACCACAATTCTTCTACAACTCTTGTAGCTTTGAGTTTAGAAGTTTCTTCCTAGCAGCATTTTGGAAATTTACAAATAAAAGCCAAATTAACCTGTTGTTCAAGCTTCTGGGGGTTGGGGATGGGCTGGAACATTGCCACCTTGAGATAGTTAAGAATTTAGGACTTCTTGAGATCTTAATCTGTCCTTACCATTTTGGACTGATATCTCAGCTGTCTTATATGAATTGAAATCTGTAAAACTAACATAACAAAAGAGTTATTCATATTTCCAATGTAGTATTACACTTGTCTGTTGCAACGAAAACAACAAATGATCCTGTGCTGCATTAAAGCCTGACAGATATATTACAGCCTAGTCATTAAGGAATTATAGCCCACTTTATCAAAGGCGTACTGTCTTACCCAGAGTTTCAAGTAGATTTAGTACACATGGTTGAGGATAGCACAGTAGACACTGAAGTCAGAAAGAACTCACATGCCCATGTTATAATGCATGTGTTGGTCTTTAAAGCGCCATGACATCCTTTTTATCAGATTTGCTTTGCTCTCAGGTGACTGAAGATGTGGTAAATCAACCATCGCCACAGCTGAAAGATGCTGGAGGAAGAGGAAACATAATTCTCAAAACCCCCAAGGTAATAGCCCATCTGTGTTCTGCTTCCTCTTCCAGAGTCCCCTTCGAGCACTGCTTAACTCTGGTACTTCCTTTAGCGGAACAAGCCGTACCATCATCCTTCCAGATGATCTTATAGAGCACTCAGCCCCTTTACCCCATTAGCTTAATCTACTGCTTTTTCAATTTTCCCCTCTCTTCCAATCATTTTCTATTATTTTTAGCAGTACTTGATTCTCGTTAGAAGATTTTTTGGCACAGAATCAAATGCTTAGTATTAAACAATTGAAGCATCTGGAAGCCCTTCAGCTGTTGGCTGCTGTTACTATTTCAGCTGTGTAGTTTTCATCAAGCGTTTCTTTTTTTAAAGAAACATCTCTTCTAAACCCCCATCTTTTCTTCGGTGTGGACTTTCAGGGCACCAGGGATTTCAGTCCAAAGCAGATGGCCATCCGTGAAAATATCTTTGCCACCATTATCAGCTGCTTCAAGCGCCATGGAGCTGTGACGATAGACACCCCTGTGTTTGAGCGGAAGGTGAGGATGGCTCAGTATTATTTTGGAAGTGCTCGTGGCCTTTTTGTTTGACAAGAGCTTCACATTTCTAGAGTCTATTTCTGCTAAAGGCTGAAATTCTACACAAAGGCTGTTTTAGTTTTATTGATTTCAACAGAACCATAGCAACTTAACTGTGTCCAGGAGTGAAACCGAAGTAAATGCCTGTTGTTTTGACTCCATTGATATTAATGCTATTTGGTTCCAGTTAAGTGCATTAGGATTGGGAAATGAGGCGTGGTTGTCTTCATGAGAAGTGCACGTCTTTTTACATTAAACCTATATCATGGATTTATATTGCATCTTATCAACCAAAATCATTGTTAAGGGAAAATAATAATAATAATAATAATCTTTATATATAACCCACAATGGCAAACATTCAATGCCAAAAACCAAATCGACAGTCAAAGCAAAAACATAAAATAAACTCAATATAACAGGGATTGAACTAAATAGATATAATAGACACAAAAAGTCATACCAATTAATAAATAGTACATTAAAAACACAATATAATACAGCATATCAGCAAGCTGAAGTAAATGTCTGTTGGATAGATCCCTTCTCCAGCCAGGCCATGAAAGTTCAACCCTTTATGCTCCTATTACTCACATTGCCCCTTAGGTTTCCTCCCTAGATCAGGTACTTGGGCCACAATAGTGTGTAGCAATGGACATTTTGTTTAGTGGGCTCAGTCATCCGGGCGTCCCCTGGGCAACGTCCTTGCAGATGGCCAATTCTCTCACACCAGAAGTGACTTGCAGATTCTCAAGTCTCTCCTGACAAAAGTGGGCTCAGTGTTGTAAGTGTGACCAAATGTACCATGTTCCCAGTATCACTATTGTTGACATAGTTTGCCTAACTGTGTGACAGGGCATACTTGCTTA